TTTTTCTCCTGGTCCACGAAACAACGCTCGAACAGAGGGAAATATTCATGGTCGACCGGAAGCGTTTAGCTTTTTATATTCAATTAATTTCTATCTCGCAAAAATCTGTGTTACGTCGAATCGAGGCCGAAATATTATACGAGAAATATGAAAAGTTAACGCGTGCTGTATAGAATTTGACGTTTTATTTTTAAAACCGTCAGAGATAGAAGAAAGACGTAGAGGGAAAAGTTGAATGGTGTAAGACGGTTTATTTCTCTGCGACTTCAGCTTTTCTGTACGCGCAACGACGCGTCTAAAAAAATGCAGATGTAACCTTTTTTAAGTGGAACGGCATATAATTTCTATATGGATCAACCGGCACGCGATTCTGTTAAATTAAATAAGGATGAAAATGCAACATTTTATACGCGACCGCGTTCTTTCGTTCTACGTAAAAATATATTAAAAGTATTTCGCGCTAATATATACTTCTTTACGCGGAATATTCGGAAGAATCGATAGAAATAAAAATAGACGCGTTGCGCGGTTGCACCTACATATAAGAAAGCTAACAGCGAGCGTAGAAAAAGATAAACGTGACTGCGCCATTCAACTTTTTCCCTGACAACTTTCTTCTATCCGGAATCGAAGTTGATTCGTAAATCAGAGTACGCGTACGCTCGGATCGAGGAATTGGCGGGGATTACTCGGTAAAAATGAAGCATGGAAGACGGCGATTAAGCGCGGGACACGGTAGCGATCTACGTAGATATCCGTTACCGTCCGATAGATCGGCATCGCCATTCTCATTCACGTTTCGAATCGACGTAGGATCGTTTCGTTGGCGTCCTTGCAGTGTCGTCGTCGACTCGTTCGAGCATCGGTCGTTTAAGATTCTCCGGGAACGCGACTGATTTAATCGTGCGCGGATAACAATACCCGCGGCTGCACGCGACTCGGCATATTGAACTTTCGCGTCGTGAGGAGAAACAGAAATGGCCGTTTACCGACGATAACGCCTATTGGCGAGCCCCTACGATTCGACTCGGAGGCCAGACGTTTCGTACCGACTTTCTTTGTCTACTATCGTTCGCATCCTCGATCGATCGGTAGCGGCGATCTCGAGGATCGAATCGAAGAGTCCCGGAAAGCTGGAGGAAAGACGATCGATAGATATCCCGTGGATTAGGGGAAAGGGCTTGGAGGGGGTAGGATTTTGTTATTCGACAGGGTGGAGTATGGGGATGGAGAGGAAGGGGGAAACATAGGAGACGCGAGGCGCGACGGGTAAAAACGTGTATCGGTAGGAGGCGCACTCAGGAGTTAAAATCACTCGTGGCTCGCGGAAAACATTCATTTGCAAGAGCAAACATTCCTCGCTATTTATCGAGTGTCAGAGGGAATACCTGCGGCCCATTTTCGTATCGAGCGTTGAAGGGACCCGATGAGAGAGAGCCACGGTGGACGCAGGGGTGGATGGGAAAAGGGGGTGGGGAAAAAACAGGAATCGAGCGCAACAAAAACATAACTTTTCCGCGATGGCGGCGCGAAGGGTGCTCGAGAAACGAGTGGTCCTTCTCTAGTATTCCATTGGTGTTATATAGCTCGTCAGATCGAATGTTTGTTTTCAGAAAAATAGACAGAAACGAGAGGAGAGAGCGAGCGCGGCCGATGTTAACACCGTTGGACCCAGCGCCGCACGCCACCGGAGCAGAACCCTCCTCTCTAGTACGCATTCACCGAGCCCGAAACGTCGCCGTGCTTTTTTTTCGGCTTTGTCCCCCGTCTTTTGTTATTTCGTCCCATTGAAGCTTCGTTTTTTAACACTTTGCCAGATCGAGCCTATCTCTGTCAACGATTCGCGTTACTCTTCCTCCGATTCGATTCCAAATTTTATCTTCGCGCGCTTTCGATTTCGCCCCCGGACTTCGAATCGCGGCTAGAAACCTTTTACGCGCTCGAGATTACAGCTGGATAAGATGATCAAAAGTGCCCTCGATTTTACCTTACGACGCATCGTTCGATAGCTTGCCAAAAAACGTCGTATTACCGTTTCAACCCTGTCTGGAAGGGCAGTTACGACGGTTTCGCTCGATCTTCCCTGTTTTGTGGCGCGCTAAAATGTCGAGGACATCGTAGACGCAACAAACTATGTTAGAGAACCTTTTTAGGTTTTTTCCTCGCAAATACCGAATTCGATTCGCAATTCCTTTCTTCGAATCGAAAGAAATTAATAAAATTAGTACGCTGATCAATTATCCTTATTCTGTTGTGACCTTTATCGAACAGCACGAAGTCCAACATTTATAAGAAACTACTTTTGCAGCTACAACATCCAGATTTCGTTGACATACATTTATCGAAGTTTCGAAAAATATTTTTATTTCGTAAAAGTTGTTTCCGTGCTAGTAACGTAGAAAACCTATCGGGCAGTAACTTTTTCGTTGGTAGATAAATTTCATGCGTTCAGAATTTCATTGCTGCACTCGATTCTTAACCCTGAAAGTTCGGAAACAATCTTTGCTCGCGTTGTCTATACCGAGTTCTGACCTATTAAATAATCACTAGGAATACAGGAATTTCCGCTTGCAAACAGTCTCGATTAAAATTTCACGCGATCCAACTACTTTGAAAATTTGTATTTTGCATTACACAGCGTTGCATAATTCGCGTTCAATTTAAGGATATCAGAGTTCGCGACGGCTTCCAAAATTCCGAGAAGGATTAGCGCGGGAGGACAGTCGGCGACGTTCGAAAAGTTAAATCGTGGCTTTTTGCTGGTAAGATTAACTCGCGCAAATTTGTTAGTTGCGAAGAACAGTAGTAAGGAGCTAGGATGTTCCCGATCGGTGAAAGGTCTTCCGATAGAAAGGATTCCACTCGACGCGTTTTTCTTTCACGGTATCCCGCGCCAGTTTCGCCACCGACTTTATTCCGTTCGATCGAATCCGCTCGCTATCCTCTCTTTTCGTAACACGCGCGGCTATTCGGCTCGAAGCGGAGCAAGAATCGCCCTTGTATCCGAACGAATAAGAGAGGCTTATCGGAACGCTTCGAGACCTACGAAACGAAAACACGAGCTCGCTGATTGCTCGTAGCCGCTTCTGCTCTCGATTCGAGACAAGGTTAAGCGAGATCGTGGAAATCGATAGAGACAACGCGTGGTCTCGTCGCACGGTCCATGACGAATCAACGATTTATTTCGTCGAAGGTTTCGCTCTTTTTTTTCTCAAACGAAATGCATCATATTTTCCTGCGTTAGGAACTCTAGACAGTAACACGTAGGAAATACAATACGGCAGAAACTCGAAATTTTGTCGCGTTAGAGGTTCCGAAAACCCGGGCCAGAGAGTTACGAGCGAAATATAGTAAAATTTCCGATATTTTGTTGGAATAGAGGCTGCAGAAGCGAGGCAGAAGATTACAAAGGAGACAGGATATTTTCCAAGGCCGGAAGCTCTAGAAGCTGAGCAGAAAATTGCGATGATAATACGGTAAACCTCCGATACTTTTCTGTATCGGGGCTCTAGGGTCACGGTAGGATACAAAATTATGAAATACGGCAAGACAGAGAATTATGAAAAGAAACGCGATAGAATTTCGATGTTGTCGTATCCGTTTCTGCGGATCGTGGTAGAAACACGGAAAGAATTTCGATAGTTCTCTGCATCGAGGGTATTCCTAATCGAGAATTTATCTAACAGAAAAATATGAAAGTTTCGTTGCGCGCTGGTCCCTCTCGATTTACGCAAAGTTTTACGCGGTAAAGTTGAGCGCGTAAAGCGAGAGATCAGTGTACTGGAATCAGTTTCGCGATCGAAAGGAGTATAACAGAAACCGCTCGTTCCCGCGCGTCGATTCTTCGGTCTCGTTGATACGAAGCAACGTTCTCGCTTCTCTTATCGTCAGAAGTCACACGATAAACCCGCCGACGTTTATTCTCCAAATATACGCGCTTCTCTGTTTCTCTCGTCGCGAATCGCTCGAAAAGAAATCGATGCTAATTGCGTGGCCCGCTTGCAGGGGGTACTAGCAGTTTTTAATTTATCGACACTGTAAGAAGAATCTCAAAAAACGTCATTTTTCATCTCGCGCGGGAATGAAAAATGAGCGCGAGACGTACAGGTACGTTGCACCGCGATTGTGGCAAATTTCAAACGCGTACGTACAATCACGCGCAACCTCTGTACAAAAAGAAAGGACCTACTGTTCTCGTCCTCGCTATTTACACGCGTTTCAACTTAATATTTTCTACGTTTAATAGAATCTAATGCTATCGTAATTTGAAATTTCGAGTGTCCATAAACTCTCATTGAAATTTAAAACACGCGATGTCTGTTTCGTTCAAAACGTATAGCGCGCGTTAACGCGCTCGCCGGTGGACATTCTCCGGGGGAATGAAATAAATAAAAATTAATATTAATAGTATTATCAGCATTAATATTAACGATATTAATTGAGCGCGACGCGGCTCCGCACAGAGACGTACAGTCGGCGAACGTATTAACACCGACGACCGATGTTTATATTCGTCGCGTTCCTACTTGAAATTTTTACATCGTTATTCTTTACCGTATAACGTTGCGAATTATAGTTCGAACAGTGTCGCTTTCTCGATGTACGGAATCGGTAGCACAGTTTAGTAATCCATCGATCGAGGAAGAGCGAAATCACGGTGTTAGATTATAGTCGTTCGCGGCAAGGAACGCGTCGAATGGAAACGTTTCTTTCGTTGGATCAAAAATGATCAAATTGCGTTAACGCACCGAACGATACGTTGTTTTGTCCGTTTTAAACGTCGACTCGTAGAGCGCGCGATTATTATGCTCGCGTAGGGTTCGTCGGTTATCGGTCGTTTAACGATCGTACGCAAATCGGAGCGCGATGCTGTGCGTTTCGAGTGGAATTCGATAAGCGACGTTTCTCGGGTAGAACGCGGCGGAAAAAAACAATAATTATAAAAGAAAAAGTAAATGACGGCGAGAAATCTGTTGAGAAAAGTTGAAGGTGACAAGTACCTCTGAAATATGCAAAGTTCCACAGACCAATCATTTGTAGCAGTGCTGGTCCAAGCTGGAAAGCCGGGTTAACGTGGCTAAACGAGAATCGATCGTTTTATTCGTCGCGATTAACTTTATACCGTCCAATAACGATCCGAGATCACCGATCGACGCCGATATCCTCGTCATGTCAACCGACGAAAATGATCCTGTTCCGATGACGACGATGACGACCAAGCCAAAGAGGAATATCGCGATAAACCTACAGCAGAGATAACGTTCACTCTTGCCAGTCCGATAGCTGCTTTCTCTCTCTCTTTCCCTCTCTCTCTCTTTTTCTCCTTTTTCTGCACGAAACTAGATTACGAATCGACGGCTTTCGAGGAACGAAAACAACCGAATCACTTTACTTTCGCCGCGAACAGATTCCTTTGCACAGGTGCGAGAAGCGCTGCACGAGACACTTGGACGTTCCGAATGTTCTCAACGTTCACTTATCTTCTCGTCGGCATAATGGAGTAAAGGATTTTTTTAACCACGAGCCTTCGCTTCGAGCCGGTTAATCGTCCGAACAGAAGACGTTCGAGACGATCGCGCTTGACGAGTTTGGGAATCGTCGGCCTTCAAGGTCCCGCGGAGTCGGCGACGCGGCGTTCGAATAAAGAACACGCTCGACGTATATTTAAATCGAATCGAGGCTCTACGATCGAGTCGAGGGAAAATACTCGCGTCGATTCTTCGAAAAATCGTCGACCGTGAGATGAACGGATATTTAAATGGAATAACACTCGAACACCTTCCGCGAGAGTCGACACTCGTTCGCGGGGTAAATTCGATAAACGTACGCGACGCGCGAACGAGACTAAAATAAAATCGTCAGTCTTCCATCCGCGGAGTCGGCGACTCTAGGTATTCTCGAACAAAGAGCGCGGATATTTAAATCGAACACTCGAACACCGTTCGCGATAGTCGAAAGCGATTTGGCGCGCAAAGACGCGAAGGCTCGTAATTTAGAATCGACGAGATCGCGTTCGAGGGTAATCGAGTCTTTGAACACTCCGAGAGTCCGGTAAACGTTCGAGCACGAGCAACGTTCGTATCCTCCGAATTGGCACAGGATCGAGCGTCGAAGCAACTGGTCACTGATTCGGTCGGCGTCTCGCGTGTCCGCCACTCTCGGACTCGGTCGCGATCGCACGCATGGTCGATCGTCGTGCGTCGAACGTTTCGACGTGCCAGACAGTCGGATGGAAGCGGTGATTCACGTGCAGCAGGATCAGCCGATCGAGCGATCATCGAAGCCGAGATCTCTCCGTGTCGGTCACGAGCGGCACGATGATCGCGCGACGCTCGTCGTCCTCCTCTCCCGTCAGCGACGTTCACCTTGACCAGCCAGCCGCCGGGATAGCGATCAGCGCGGCTGACAGAACCGACTAGCACGCTGGATACCGATCGGAAACGGATTCAAAAGAGACTCGCGAGAAAATACCGGTAAACGATCCTCGAAAAATCCAGATAAAACAGAAAGACCAGAAAATCGGAGGCAGAGAGAGATAGATAGATAGAGGGAGTTTCGTCACTCTGCACTGGCCAGACGATAATTTCAGAGGCGATTAGATGACCCAACGGCAACGATAGTAACGAGAGCGTATTTTGCGGATCAGCGCGATATGTTTCTTTCTCTCTCTCTCTCTCTCTTTCGGTCTCTTTCTCGCTAACGCGTTCGGTCTCTCTGTCCCCCTTCCACTCCGTCTCTCTCTTTCCCTTTGGCCCCCCTTCCATCCCCAGCCGCCCCTCTCTTTCTCGCACTTTTTCCTTTCTCGCGTTTTGCAAATCGCCGGAGCAGACGATCGGTTCGACGGATATCGAGATTCTTCGCGGTCCTTCCTCTCCTCGATCCCCTTCTACCTGGTTTTCGCGAGACGATCGCCGTCGCGACGCGAGGCGGCATGGTAGCGCACGCTAGCAGAAGCGGGCACGTGTCTAGCCAGCGGCGCGTTTTAATCGAAGCGGCGTCGAAAGAGCGCTTCTCCGTCGGTAGTAGCCTCTGTCTGTCGCGCGTACGCTACGCGTGTGCACGCGTGTGTAGAT